TGTCCTTTCCTTATTTAAATTATATCACAATTTCAATATCGCGGAAAAAACGCTGATTGGCTGATATATTAATATGGCCGGCCACTTGTTCCACCATTCTCATTGGTCAATCATCTTTATGCGCAACAGCACACCTCTATCTTTATTACACCATGGTCAATATATTCCTACGTCAATGTTATCAAGTTGAGTTTTCTCTACTCTTATTTTGTGGTCGTGACGTGTGGGAGTTATGAGGTTATATTCAGCTGGTTTATTAATTTAATAAACCAAGTTCTGAAGCATTGCATGTAAGCATAATTCTTTTTCATCTATTAGGATTTTTCGTTTAAATGCCACACGATAAAAAGATCTCGCGGCGTAGCCGGTCTCGTGATCGCGAGCGCGATCGGGAGCGGCGCGATCGCCGGCGTAGCAGGAGCCGATCCAAGGATCGTAAGAAAGACAGGAAACGGTCCAGATCGAGAGAACGGTCGCGCGAGCGCGATAGATCACGGGAGAGGGATCGTGAGCGCTCGAGAGAGCGTCGGGACATCAAGGACAGATTCAAGGATGAGAAGAAGCGCAAGGGTAGCCCCACATTCACCGAAGATGACTCGAAGAAAGACTTGAAGAGTGATGCTAAGAAAGAGGAAGACGAGACAGAGGAGAAAGTTAAGTTGACATCAAAGAAGGAACCATTGAGTCTGGAGGAGCTGCTGGCCAAGAAGAAGGCGGAAGAAGAAGCTCGTGCTAAACCGAAGTTTCTCTCTAAAGAGGAACGAGCGACCTTGGCATTAGAGAAGCGTCAGCAAGAGGTAGAGGCGATTAGACGGCAGCAGGAGGAAGAGCGCAAGTTACTATCCCACAACGATACTGGCAAGGAGAGGGAATGGGACGACAGGGACAGGTATCTAGATTTACTTTGGAAATGTGTTATATTGTTAAAAAAAAATGATTGTATGATTAAAAAATTTGTCTCAAAATATAATATATCTTATATTTTTAACACATTGCTAGTATCTTTTTATAAATAAACTATAGCTATTTATAAAAACTATAGCTGGTTGCTATAGCTAGACATAATGATACGTCTTTTTAGAACTTAAATTCAAATTAATTAAAATAAGTTTTCATATTCGACGTTGGTTTAAATCTGAAAATTAGATAAATTTACTTACTTATTTTCAACATAAAAGATGAAAAAATCAAAATAGTTGCTTATGTTTTCAAAGTGCTTGTGAAACAATAAAGAGAGTTGTTTTATTTGCAAATTTTACAGATTTTATTTTTGCAAAAGTAACTGTTTTTTAAAAGTATTATAAAAGAAGTATTGATTTTTTTTTTAAATAAAAGTATAATTTATTTTCTTTTTACATAAAAATGTTTGATTTTATTTTTACGTAATAATGATCAATTAATTTTACAAAATAGATAAATTTAAAAAAATTTTTTAATTTTTACATTCTATATAACTTATGTTTATAATTTGATTTTTTTTCGCT